TTTATAGTTATTTTATTTTAGTCTAATATTATTTTTGGGTTATTTACATTTATAGTACATATACTGTGTAATATTTTGTTCTTGGCTTTGAATTATTTTTTTTCTGTTTTAACCCTTTAAGTTTTTTCTTTATCTATTTTAGTCCCTAAGTTTATATTTTTACTATTTCAGTCCTTTAAATTCTTGTTTATATTATTTTGGGTCCTTTGAGTTTTTATTTTTGTTATTTTGGTCCTTGTAATTAAATATTTACTTTTTTTAATCATTATATTTAGTGATTGTAATATTCATTTGTATTTATGTTAATCCTTCATGTATGTACATATTTTTATGTTATGTATTTATTTATATCATAAGTAAATAAATATGTTTAATTTTATTTGTTGTGTATGTTTTATTTCGTATATTTTATTTATATTTATTTCCATTTCTTTAACTATTAATGTTATTCGAATAGTTTCAAGAACGTGAATTTGTAGAACGGGCGTGGAAAGTACCACTTGATCGAAGTGGTACAATCCGATATGATATTCGAACAAATGTGAACTTGAAATAAAATTGATTTTATTTTGTTAAGTAATTATTTTTTATTTTATTTTTTTAATGTTGAACTATGCAATGCATATTACTAAATAGCGATTTATTTTATGAAGCGATTGATTTTCATTTTTATATTTGATTCGCATCTTTTAAAATCAATTATGAGGGAATATCCTTTTACTAATAAGGAATAGTCGAATTAGCTTTCCCGATAGATGATTGTTAATTTCAAGATTTCTTTTCGAGTTAAAATTTTGTCTCTAATTAATTAATTTGAAGTAAATTAATTATATTTCAATAAATGGATCGTAATACAGAACGACGTCGTTCTAGGGGACCTTCTGTGTGTTTTCTTCGTGTGGGTTAACTACACTTTTAGTCCCTAGGGTCTTGTAATCTTATTACTGAACCATTAAATGAAGTTCCATTTTCTTTGATTTCGAGCACTTACATTTTAGAATTTATATTTAAGTCCCTAGTTTGTTTATTTTATCATATTTGTTTATGTTTGACATTGGTCACTATATTTGTATTTGTTTCATTTTAGTCATTGATTTTGTATGTTATGTATTTTTGGTGAGGTTCGAATTTGTCTCTAACATTTGTAAATATTCTATTTTGGTCACTGTTTAGACATTTGGTTTAATTATTGTTTGGTCCTTTATGTTTATAGTTATTTTATTTTAGTCTAATATTATTTTTGGGTTATTTACATTTATAGTACATATACTGTGTAATATTTTGTTCTTGGCTTTGAATTATTTTTTTCTATTTTAACCCTTTAAGTTTTTGTTTTATCTATTTTAGTCCCTAAGTTTATGTTTTTACTATTTCAGTCCTTTAAATTCTTGTTTATATTATTTTGGGTCCTTTGAGTTTTTATTTTTGTTATTTTGGTCCTTGTAATTAAATATTTACTTTTTTTAATCATTATATTTAGTGATTGTAATATTCATTTGTATTTATGTTAATCCTTCATGTATGTACATATTTTTATGTTATGTATTTATTTATATCATAAGTAAATAAATATGTTTAACTTTATTTATTGTGCATGTTTTATTTCGTATATTTTATTTATATTTATTTCCATTTCTTTAACTATTAATGTTATCCGAATAGTTTCAAGAACATGAATTTGTAGAACGAGCGTGGAAAGTACCACTTGATTGAAGTGGTACAATCCGATACGATATTCGAACAAATGTGAACTTGAAATAAAATTGATTTTATTTTGTTAAGTAATTCTTTTTTATTTTATTTTTTTAATGTTGAACGATGCAATGCATATTACTAAATAGCAATTTATTTTATGAAGAGATTGATTTTCATTTTTATATTTGATTTGCATCTTTTAAAATCAATTATGAGGGAATATCCTTTTACTGACAAGGAATAGTCGAATTAGCTTTCCCGATGGATGATTGTTAATTTCAAGATTTCTTTTTGAGTTAATTTTTTTTTTGTAATTAATTAATTTGAAGTAAATTAATTATATTTCAATAAATAGATCGTAATTTAACTTTATATTCGATTTATTATTTCCCCATTACGACAAAGCGTTTGAGTACCAATTTTGGGCGTTGTGGGATGCTTACCCTTCCTCACACGTAACCGACTACCGAACCCGTTTTTAATCCAATCTTTGGTAAATGTAGACCAGTTTTTATCTTAAAAAACAATTTTTTTTAAATTGTTTTAAAAAGACATTTTTAGGTATTCGACCTACCTAACCCAAAGGTCGATGGTGACTCTCTTTCAACTTATTTCAAATCAATCCAAAATCACCCGATTTTTCCAAATTAAAATCATAATTATTTTTTAAAATAATAAATAATTGTTTTTCAAAAAATGGTTATGACACTACGTATGTAAATTGAATGAACCAGATTTACCTTGGTTGCAAATCGGAGTTGTTGAGTGGCAGATTTGGAGAGGTTGAAGAAGGTTTCCTCTTTCCGGAGTTAGGAATGAAATGGAGTAAAAAATTGTGGTCTTTTCAATTTCTCAAAAGAGCGGGAAATTGATTTGCGAATTGTTTTCAAAATAAATACCGCTGAATTCATTGCCCCACTTATCACTACGTTTAAGGCCCAACCACAAGGCCTAAATAATCTGCTACTTAAGTGATCATTGGCGTAACCCAAAATTTGAACACAACATTTACGCCATTCATTCAGGCCTTAAAAGCACGTTGTCTCTTCTAAACATGCATTAGTTATCTTGTAAAGTATTTCTCATTTATCTCAAACTATTAATTTTATTAAAAAAAGAAATACTTTAAATTTATATATATATATATATATATAATATTTTTTTGATAATTTTAATTTTATTACCCAAGGTGCAAAATTTTGCTACATAAAAAATCTCATCATTGGGATAATGGACAACCTACTTACAACCAAGTTTTAATGGTTTACACCCCAACTATTACAAAGGTAAGTATTGAGACTATCTACTCTATTTATATTCCTTCCTCTTAATTGGATACATACAATCTACTTAATTAAACTCAGAATTTCATTCTCACTTATTGTGCTTTCTCGGTACAATCTTCTATTTCTTTTCGACCATAGGGAATAGATTAAAGCGCACCAAGCAAGTTTCAAGATAGTAGTGAGGAGGGACTTACCTTTCCAAGCACCAACTGCCCTGTCCATCATGCTCTTCCAAGGTAAAGTAGGGGTGCTTAAGCCCGAGAGGTTCAAAATAGCCTTCCATAATAAAACTACCATAGAGCATTCACTAAATAGGTGGTCCCTAGTCTCCGTAGCTTCATTGCATATTATGCAGGAAACATCGGTAATGATTCTCATTCTTCAGAGTCTCTCCCTAGTTGGGAGTCTATCCAGGAGAGCCATCCATGTTATAATGCTATGCTTGGGGACATGTAGAGGAAACCATATCAATTTGTGCCATGAGACTTTTTCTCCTTTTACCCGTAGTTCTTTCCAGAAATCTTTTGTCTTCGTAGCTCCTGTAGATAAAACAGGGATTGTAACTGCCCTTAGTTTAAGTAAGCGCTTGATACACCAGCTGGAGTTTGGTATTCATCGACTAACAGAAAGTCTGCACCTTTAATAACGTAGCTTTTGATCCAAGCTACCCACAATGATCCCTCTCCCGCAAGAATGTTCCTGATGAATTGTATCATACATGCTTTGTTCCATGTTTTAATATCTTTTAATCCGAGTCCTCCTTCAGATTTCGCTAGGCAAATTTTCTGCCAACTGACTTTGGCTCTAGTGGCGGCTTTATCAGTACCTTACCAGAAAAATCTAGAGCAAAATTGTTTAATCCTATTAACAATAGCCTGAGGTAGAATTAACTGCCTGCACCAGAAGTTAGCAATACTGAAGAGAACAACTTTGATAAGTTCTAGTCTGCCGGCGTAACTCAAGTGCTTTCCCGACCAGTGATGTAGCCTGGATTTGATCTTTTCAATAAGAAACACACCGTCATTTTCAATGAGTTTCCTTGTGACTAAAGAAACCCCTAAGGGTGCGTTTGGTTCACGGAATGTAAGATTACCAGTGGGAATAAAAGATTACCAGGGAATAAGATTACTGTGAATGTTGTATTTTGTGTTTGGTTGGTTTAGCAGGAATGTAAGATTACCATGTTTGGTTAAAGGAATAAAAGATTATTGTAACGTATATTTAACCAAATTGTCCTTATTATATATTTGTATAATATTACAAATTGTAAAATATTTATATATTTTCTTTAAAAATTAAATTCATAATATTTATAATTTTTATTACAAAATTAAAAATATAAAAAAAGTTTAATGAAAGGGTAAAAAAAAATTTAACCCCTAAACTTCATATAAAATTTTAATTATAGATTTTTTTTAAATCTAAAATAATTTAAGGATAAATTTATAATTTAATCTTCGTAGAATTTTTATTATTCAATGACAGAAGAAGGATATTTTTGAAAAAAAAATAAAAATTTAAGGGTATTTTAGTCCAAAACGCCGGTAATGTTACAATACCTAAGGAAAGGGAGGTAATGATATTCCCGGTAATATACCCTAAAAAATCTACTATTGGTAATAAAATATTACCGGAAATGAGATTCCCGACCAACCAAACATGGGAATGTGGGATTCCCATCCCATGGGAATTCCACAATCCTTGAACTAAACACCCCCTAAGTATCTCACTGGCAAACTGCCATGTTTGAATCCTGTGGATTGTAAAATATGCACAAGATTTCTGAAAGTGATTCCAGCATTATAAAGTTCGCATTTATAGACTATTATTATTAGATGCACTATGAGCGAAAAACTAATTTCACAATTTTTTTTGGAAACACTTTAAATTTATAATAAGCGTCTTTAAAATATATTAAAAATTAAAAATAAATGAAAAGACACTTGACGATATTTTATGAGTGCATGTGGATTTATTTTCTCCTAATGTGTGTGTGTGTTTATATAGCTAATCAAAAGCCTCACCAATATGCCATTTTTTGTACTTCTGTGAAGACTAGTTGATCAGAAGGGTTAATAGGCCGCATGCAAAGAGTATGGCAGAGTACTTCTGCGAAGACTAGCCAATTCTATATCGAAACAAGACATGAATCTGACAATAAAATCCCTCTTAAACAAAAACCGTTCACCGATATGCCTTTTTTCTTGTAGGAAGAATGTCGGAGCTTAGAGAGGTTGCATCTCCAAGTTAGTGCTAGTCCCGAAGGGTGGCGATGAATCACGGTTTTCATTGGAAGAGCTCATCTCTTGAACAGGGGGTGGGTTGACAACAGTCATCGGCATGACAAAGTTATCTGATAGCCTTCCCTTCATCTCTCTATGCTCCTGGCATAACGCACACCAGTGCATGCAGCAGTGCACCATGCACGGATCACAGGGTGAATTCTGCAGTTCAAATGCATGTCAGAATGTACATAGCTTAAGCTCTTAAGCAGGTGTTTTTGGGTAAAATTCCAAACGGATACTGGTATAGAAATAAATAGGCACATTGGTAAGCAACCTTAATTTTAGACATGAATTTCAAAGTAATTTGATTTTCAAATATGAACCAACATCATCAAGATAATTATTTGCTCCATCCCAAAAGACACAACAAGCTAGTCTGCATGGGTAATTGGCTAATCGCGGTAAGAGACAAGGGATAATTCCTAATCAATACTAAATTAAAATTGAACTTTATGAAAACTTCTTTCTTTTACAAATTTACTTCCATGGATATAAACTAATTCGTCTGTCATAAAAATTATGTTTGGCTGGCCCAACTAATACTTTATTTTGTGATAGAACACATGCTTATTTGATAAAATATTATACCACTTTGCAACTACTTGAGCTTGATACTAAATACTTAGAGGGCTGTGTTTGTGTTGCATTAATAATAAGTGCATACAAGCCAAGTGGTTAGATACTACCTTGAGATGATACTTTTTCTGTAAGGATTGCCGAGCAAGACCGGTATATATTCCACACATCCACCAAGCAAACAACAAACCCTCGCAAATGAGAAAAGATGTCTTCGGGTCAATACCATGGAAGACAGCTGTTGCAACTGCCAATGCCATGCCACCTTCAACACAAATAGCATGACAAATGCATGGTGTAGTCCAAGGCGTATCATCTCTCAAGCTCTCAATATTACGCCCAAATAGAACACATGGGCAAAATAGTCCAGTCCAGCCTGCAGAGCAAGTCAATATGCTAATTTTTAAATCAAAAGCTTTGGTGGAAGATAATAAATAGCACCGATGTATTATATACTAAACCATTTTATTACAAAGCTTTTCCGTCAGTGTCAGTAATTAGACAGACAGACAAAAATTGGTTACTGATTCAAGCATGTAAACATTCCCGTAAAATTACTTACAGTTCCTTAACAAATAACAAGGGCAAAGTAAGAGATTGACAAATTAAAAACATCTCAACTTACAACTTTCTGTATCTTCAGCACAGCCAAAAATTCCAGTAGTCCAAGGTTCAACAGCGGGTGGCTCAAAGTTTTCAGGTAAAGCCTGTCCACATTCGTTGCACTTTCGGACATGCAACTAAGAAACAATGAACAGATCAGTGAATACCCCAATGTGCATCTCCCAGCTAGGATTTTTCCTTTTTATTTTTTTTTTCAGCACAGAATCTTAAGGTAGATCATACTTATTTATACAAATTAAAGGCCTATTTATCATTGTTATTTTTTGTTAAATCCTTCCGAGCTCATAATTTTCTAGAGGAACAAGATCTAAGGGTAATTACTCAATTTAGGACCAAGCCTATCACCAATTGAAAGAATCAAAATCAAACCTTTCGTTTCAGTTTAGTAAGGGATAAATCTTTGCAATTTGTAACTAGAAACATTTAGTAAATGCGTAGTGGCCCGTTTGGAGTGAAAGACTTGGAGATAGAAAAAAATATAATTTTTTAAGCCAAAAAATGGCATTTTAATTTTTTAATTTTTTTTTGTAAAAAAAACATGTTTATTTTACCAATGGTCTCCGACATCTAATTGGTGCGTGAAGCTCATCACTCAGTTACAAAAAAGGGAGAAAATCCTCATCACAAATACAAAAGCTAATACTCATTAAAAGAATTATTTGATCCTAATTCACTAAAATTGTGTAAGATTTGTCTTAATTTGAGCAATTAGCCAGATCTAAGTGCAAAAGATCTACAAAAAAAAATGATGCTTGCTGGAAACAGCAAGAAACATTTGGCAAAGTTCTTATTTCAATATCCTCCAAATAGATCTGACTGGCCTCCAAAAAAAAAAACCGATTCCAACAGCTGGTAAATCGAGCGCAAATTTCGTGGATTTCAAGCAATATCGTGCTACAAATTTCAGACTGGTTTCGAACCTTTACAAACCTAAATGAAATATCTATCCCACTATCGTCACATATTATCATTCTTATTTCAAGCGAGCATTCAAGAAACGAATAAAAAAATTGGGAGAGAGAAAGACCTGAGGAACATCAATGGGCTGATTAAGTTCACCAGGTTGGATATCCTGTAAAGGATCCTGATCTTTAGTCAGCTTAACGTATCTGGATTGCGCATCCGCCATCTGATCCAAAAGTAATAAGTCAAAAACATATAAAAAGAAATTGAGAAGAAAGAGGAGGCGAACATAGATGAGTCTTGAGAGTCTTACAAACCTCCGAAATGTAGGAGATCTAGAGGGAGACGGGGAATATTACAATCTCCAAAGAGAATTACAAGAAATGAGGTTCAAGGGTCAACTACAGTTCCTACTCCCTCATTTTATCCTCCAATTTTACGGTGTCTACGGTTTCGTCGATAGTCTAATATGACCGACCTAACCTTCGCCCGTGGACTTTGCTTAGAACCGGGTTCGAACCAGCACGTTTTTACTGACGTTTTGGCTCAAAACGACAGCTTCCACCTGGATTTAATGGGATACAATTTATAATTAGTTTTAAATCTGTGCAATACGTGGATTTTATTTTTTAAAAATTGTGATGTGAATTAAATTTATTTAAAGATAATATAAATTAATAGGATAAAGTACACAAATAGTCCCTCGACTATGGGTACTATTTTATTAAGTCCCTCAACTATTAAAAATTACAAAATGGTCCTCCGACTATAGAGCGTTACTTTGTTGAGTCCCTTAATTATCAAAAGTTATAAAATGGTCACCCGACTATTCATTATGTTCCAAACTCGTCTTTTTTCATTAAAAATTGATATTATTTTGAGCTAAACATTAAATTGTTGATTGTCATATGATAAAATATGATCTCAGAATCTCAAACGACTATCACATCTCAGTTATCATGTTAACGTCCAGTTTAGAAAACCATCAAATTTTTACTGGAAAATGACAAGTTTAGAACATATTAGGTGACCATTTTGTAATTTTTTATAGTCGATGGACTCGACAAAGCAACGCTTTATAGTCAAAGAATCATTTTGTAATTTTTAATAGTCGATTGACTTAACAAAAGAGTACCTTATAGTCGGAAACATTTGTGTGCTTTATCACCCAAATTAATAATGTGTTTCATTTATAGTTACAATTCTCTTTTTTCATAAGAGTTATTATCATATTTATTTTTTTTAAAATTATTAAGGACATAAATAATACTTACATCAATTTATTAATCAGTTTTTTAGATATTTAAATTTATAAAAAAAACTAAACTTAAAAAACCAAATTACTTATCAAATTTTATTTAAAATATACATAACAAGATTAAATTAACTTTAATTTTTAAAAATAATATTTTTTTTGAATTGATTCAAATTTTGTTCATTTCTAGATACACATTTTTATCATAATTTTGTTTATTTCCTTTATATATATACTTAAAAAAATTCTACAACGCTCGACGAGCATCGATGAGCGCTATTAACGATGAACACCATTAATTTAATTTATAAAAATTTAAAATTCTAAAGGACTCAATGTATAATTATAAATTAGTTAAAACTTTAAAGGTCATTTTTTAAATAAAGGGTAAATTGTAACAATGACCACCTAACGATTATTCCATTTCATTTTGACCATCATTTTTTTAATTTTGTCAATCATGTCACTCAACTATTTAAATATATTCAATTAAGTCACTCGTCGTTAATATTTAACAAAGAAGCTGATGTGACAGTTAAAATATTTGGTATAATTACATATTTGATCATTGTTACTTATATATTCTATATTTGGTCCTAATTTTAATAAATAAAAATAAACTTAACCCTCAAATCAAATGTTGTCATGTGTCATTAGAACTTACCATGAGAGCTTATTTGATTTCTTTTGTGTGCCTAATTGAAATACGTAACTTATATTAATTTTAGAATCTAAAATTGTTTCAATAAATTTATTCAAAATATTATAAAACAATTAATAGGAACTATAACTAATTAGTTATATTTGTAGGAATCATGGGACTTTGCGCATATATGTGGTCATTTTTTCATTATAGTAATTTCAATTGGATTAAATTAAATTTTAAAATATTAAATTAAGTTTGAAAACATTTAAATCAATTAAACGAATAAATGAAATATCAAACTGATATAAATGAAGTAATAATTTAGTGCAAATTTTGTTATCGGAAAACATTAATTATATGTATAATAATTTTGATTGATTGAGGTTTTTTTTTTCAGTGATGTTATTATTGTGGTGGTCATTTTTAATTTATGATGCGGTACCGACCAAACTTCGGCAGATGTCATTTGATTTAAGAGTTAAGTTTATTTTAATTTATTAAAATTAGGAACAAATTGATAGAATATATAAGTAATAGTGACCAAATGTATAATTATATCAAATATTTTAACTTTCACATCAGTTTATCCGTTAAATATTAACGGCAAGTGATTTAATTGAATGCATTTAAATAGTTGAGTGGCCTAATTGACAAAATTTCAAAAATGGTGGTCAAAATAAAAAAAGGACAATAGTTCGATGGTCATTGGTATATAGGGATGGCAACGGATCCTGGACTCGACCCGAATCCATATATCCATATCCATTTTATAGGGTTTGGATCCTAAAATTTTGGACCCGAAGGATCCAGACCAAATCTGACACAGATACTGGGTATGGACCCGTTTACCCGTTTATATAAAAACCCACGTTTTGTTTTAAAATATATATAAATGACATAATAGGTTTTAATATATATATATAAACATTTTATATAGAGAGACGCCTGAGTTCTTATAGGGTTAAGCTATTATATGTTTTAAACTCGGCTTGCCACAATAAAATGTTTCAAGATCTACATTTTTAATGTTTTTGTTATTCAAAAGACATTTTGTGTAATTGAGTTGGAATTTTTTGAGACTTTAGTTTTTCGTTTTTTATTCTGTTACTAGATGTATTGAAATTAATCTTTCCTCCATTGGAGATGTGATGTGAAATTAGTCAATGCTCGTTTTCTTACGTTAAAAAATAAGTCGAATGGTCGTTTTTTAACAAATCCGTTTTGGAGCCATTTTGGACCCAGATTCGTGAGATCCGTTGGACCTGGATCCAATCTCAGTTTTCTAAACCCGCGTATCTGGGGTGAGTCTGAATTCATATGTGAAAATGGATCTAGATCTGGGTCTAACTGGATCATATCCTAATCCGGCCCATTGCCAATCCTATTGGTATAGTTTACCATTTATTTTAAATAATTTATCTTTTAATTTTTAACTAATTACTAATTATATGTTGAGATCTTTAGAATTTTAAATTTTTATAAATTAAATTAATGGTACTCTTTGTTAATGGTGCCTATCGATTCTCATTGAGCATCACACACTCATCCATTTACTTATCATAGGTGAATTTAATTATTGCATAGATTTTTATACAAAAAGTAAAAAATTGAAAGTTGATTAAGTTTATAGTTTGCTTATTGTTATTTGGTATAGAAAATTGGAGGAGAATTTAAGTTCTATTGTTATTCTAATATAAAATTAATTCTATTGAAAAATATATTTAAGGAATAATAGTAAAATCATATTGGCTAGTGATAATTGATTTTTTTTTTTATGAAAGTGTCGCAACATCCTGAAAAATCGTAGGATTAATTTTATGGGTTTTGTTTCGATTAAAATTGTGTTTTAAAATAAAAATATGGTTCGATAAACTCGCCACCAATCTTTATTTAGGGTGTAATTATATCACCCAAAATGTTTAGTTGTTTTAATAAAATCTTAATTTATTAAAATAACTTTTTGGTCTGCTTTTCTAGAAAAATAGGTTTGGGAGTTAATTACGTGTGGAGAAGAGCTAACACCCCCACAATGCTCGGAAATCGATACCTAATCGATTAATTATTATCTTTGCAATGGAACGTATGGATTCAGACTTAATTTAATTAATGATCCCCTATTTAGTTAAATAATTACATTAAAATCCAAGAGAAAAGATTAACAATTCGAGCATTTAACTAGGGAAAGTTAACCACCTTATATGAGGAAGAATGAAATCTTTTTCATTTCTAATTAAATCGATCGATCACTAATCTCTTCATCGAAACTTTTAATTGACATTCCAACATTTCGAACCGAAAGAGAATCACTACCTAATATAAGGTAGAATGATGATTACCTAGAAGGAAACAAAGAATTCCTCATTCATGGTATTTATTTACCTAAAGTTGTAAAACAAGAAAAAATTTTATTAATAGGATTACCGGTCCTTTAAGATAGAGAATGCTCGCATATTTAGAAATATCGAACCTAAACCTCCAAATAGAGTCGAAAGACCCATTTCTGATAAGTCTAAATATGAGAATATTTCCTTTTCTACCATCCTGATTAATTTTAAAAGTTATCATTTTTATTTATTTCACTAAAGGGTACTCTGTTGGGATTTTCAATAAAGCTCAATTGATCAACCAAGTCATTGCCAAGAGGGGGTGAATTGACTTTTTGAAAAATTTGGGTATGGAGTAAAAAAGAGATAAGAAAATTTACACAATGATTTATAGTGGTTCGACTTCTCAACCAAGTCTACATCCACTACCTTAGCTCCTCACTAAGGATTTTCTAACAAATTCACTAATTTGTTCTTTCTTTTTGCAGGATAAAGAGATAACATTTACAACTCCATAGCTTTTCAAAGGCTAAGCTAGAACCAATCCCCTTTACAAAAGGAATAAGATGTAAACAAGAAAACCTCTTAAAAGAAAGGTGTTTACAAGATTTAAGCTCACAAAAGCAAAACCTAAGGATATACAATTAAGCTCAAAATAAAAATATTTACCAGAGAAAGAAAAAAAAAGATTGAAAAACTTTTCTCTTGTGTATGAATGCTTGGATAGGTGTTGGTCAACCTTCTTCATGTGTCTTCAACTTGTTTTTATATGTTGGAATGAGTTTGTGGTCGTTTCTAGTCGTTGGGGATGTTGTGGAGGTGTTGGGGATTAATTTTCTACAAAATAAAATTACCCAAGGCAGGGAGTATCGATACTCCTTTAATGAGTATCGGTAATACCTTTATAATATTGAAATAAACTAGTCGTTAAATACCGTTAGGCTTGACCATTATTGATACTTACTTCATGGTATCGATACTATTGTGTAAAGTAGTATCGGTACCCCCTTGGGCATCGATACCTATTTTGCATCCTAGAATTTGAGCTATTTGGAAAACATCTGGTAGTATTGATACTACCTAGAGAGTATTGATACTTCTCTTACATTTGGTATTGGTACCACATGAACAGTATCAGAACTGTTCATATAGTATCGATACTGTAAGAATAGTATTGGTACTACGTACTAT